CGGCTCCCCTGCGGGAGCGGGGCGGGGGGGCTGTGAGACTCGATGGTCTGTGTGCCCTGAACATCTGTGAGTGGGAGGTCTGGGCTCGGGGCCACTCGTCGGCCGGCCAGACCTCATCTTTCCCCCGCGCTCGGAAGTCCCCTCCATGGACCCGCCTCCGGAAGGGGTTGAGGGGGCCTGATGAGGATGGGGGAAGCCCGTGCTGGGGCTGAGAGGGGTCTCTGATGGAAGGGCGGGGGCCCTTCCTCGCATCTTCCCCTCACCCCAGCCTCCCTTTGGCCAGTCCATTTTATTTGCGTGGCCCGCTGAACAGTGACTGTCAGTCCGTGAGTGTGGGAGCAGGTCTGCCTGCCTGTGTGTTTCTGGGAGCGGGTATGTGTGTGAGCTTGTAGGAGAGAGTGTTTGTGTGCGGTGTTCCCCGCCGCCCCGTGTCTCTCAGAGATAGGATCCGCCCTCTCCTTTGCCCTGTTTGTTCTTTTTTTCACCTCCAGATGTGCAGCTTCTCCACCCACCTGCACACACACACAGCTAGGCCCTGTGCCCCTTTGGGGATGGGGGGCACCGGCCACAACTTTGCCTGGATGAGAAGAGGTTCTTGGGTTTCCTGAGTGGGCTGACCTTTGGAGGTGTGGGGCAGGAGTGGACCGGGAGAGGAGGATACCTCCCAGAAATAGGCTAACCAGGCCCTTGGGGCAGTAGGGACCGGAGTTGGGGCAATGCCTGGGGCCCCTGAGTGCAAATAGAAAGTTAATTTGGGCAGGACTGAGCTGCTCTTGAGTCCTGTTACCCTCCTGCCCGCTCTATTAATACAGATTCAGCTCTGCTGCATCACCTATTTATAGCCCAGAGGCAGCAAGGCCACACCCCCTCTGTGGAGGAGGCTGAGGGGTAGAAGAGGGGGGCAGGGAACTCTCAGCTACAGAAGCCAGGGCTGGGGGTCTTTGGGTGCCCACAGCCTCCTTGGGTGGGCCTGGCACGATGGGCTGGAATCCACTCAGACTCCCCACCTCAGTCCCAGACTGGGCTATGTGATCAGGCTCCCAATCCTCCCCCACCAAACCCCACCCCACCCCACCCCCATCAATCTAGGATTGAGTGGGTCTGTCTAGACCCTGCGAACTCATCATTAATTAGCTTGTCAAAGGGCTGAAAGGAGGGGGAGGGGCCAGCAGGGCTCTTTCTGAAACAGCTGTGGTTGTAATTAGGTGGAAGTGTGGTTGGCTATTATTTATTCCGGTTATGATTACTCTGGGATCAGCTCCTCTGATTGGCGGCTTGTCGGGGAAGGCTCCCTTCTCTCCTAACCATCCATCAGTCTTTAGAATTGTTGGTGCCCACCCGCTTGGGAGGGCCTCTGGGTGTGCCAGAGCAGTGGGTGGCTTTGCCCACTCTGGTTATCTGCTATGGGCTGCTCAGCCCGCTAGCCCCTTCCCTACCGGCCACGGCCACGCCTAAGGTCCCAGCAGTGGGCTCCTGAGCTTCTCAGTGGGGGGCCTGCCACGGTATCCACGTGGCCTGGATGCCCCTTGCCCTTGTGGCTTGCCTGAGCTGAACTGTCTCAGCGTCCAGGAATGTAGACTTCCCTGCCAGTCTTAGCTCAGACTGGCATGAAGCTTGGGGGGTGCCAAGTGGCACCAGATTGGGTCAGTAGGCTGGGGGCAGGGGCGTGGACAAAGTGGGAGGGTGGTTGTAGAGAGCACCAGGGCGCTGGCGTCTCCCAGCACAGCATCCTTTGCAGGAATCCTGTAGTGTGGCCAGGAGGAGGAGTGCTGTGAGCCAGGCTCAGGCGCCCGTGGGCACACCGGCAGCTGTGCACACTCTTGGTGCCCCTGGCTACATTTCTGGCTCCCCCACACCCTCCCGTCTCCATGTAGTCACACTTACTGGGCAGGACTGGGCCTGTGTCTGCTGCCTGGGAATGTGCTTGGCTGAGGCAGGGCCCATTGGCCCTAGGCTTGGCTAGATTCCAAAGAAGACCAAGGAGCAGGAAGATGGCAGGCCAGAGGGTGCTTTGTCAGAGAGAAAGAGGGTGATGGCTCTCCCCAGGCCACACGATGATAAGGAGGATGATAAGGAGACGGAGCCAGGAGGCAAAATCTGCTTCCTCCGGGGGCATCTAACTGATTCATGGTTTTCCCCTGTTCCCTCTCTCGGAGCTTTTTTTGATCCTGGAAATTGCTGCCTCTCAGATTGACTTTTCCACCCAAGGGGCAGATAGATGGATCACTGGTGCAGGTTGGGGGAGGGGGACGTGGGTGTCTGTGTTCTCTGAAGAACCCTGTTCACAGGACACCATCACATACGTTGTCTTTTTTTTTTTTTTTAAAGATTTTTATTTATTTATTTGAGAGAGAGAGCATGAGAGGGGGGAGGGTCAGAGGGAGAAGCAGACTCCCCGCCGAGCAGGGAGCCCGATGTGGGACTCGATCCCGGGACTCCAGGATCATGACCTGAGCCGAAGGCAGTCGCTTAACCAACTGAGCCACCCAGGCGCCCACATATGTTGTCTTATTAACTCTGCAAGGTTTGTGGTATTATCCTCATTTCTCTACTGAGAGAACTGGACTCAGAGGGGAGGTGACTTCACCTGAAGATCTCACCACTAGTAACAAGAGTTAGGACTAGGAGTCCGATCTTGGGACTCACAAACCAGTGCTCTTTCCACTCTGCCCTGTCTTAAGGCGGGGTCAGGCGGGGTCCGTGTAGACCCCGAGTGCAGGCACCAGGGCTCTTTGGAGCCCGCTAGTGCTTTGGGGTGAGGGCTGCCTCAACCCTACCTGCCCTTCTCAGCATTCGCTTTCTCTGTAGGCTGTATGTTGTGCCTGGGCCAGTCCACCTTCCTCCGCTTTAACCACCCAGCCGAAGCCAAGTGGATGAAGAGCATGATTCCGGCCGGGGGCCGGGCCCCAGGGCCCCCCTACAGTCCTGGCTCAGGTAGATGCCCAGTTGGGGCCGGGGGTTGGGTTGGTGGTCCTCCTGGATGGTCCTCCTCCCTGCCCATTCCAGTTATGCTTGCGGTGTCAGGGCAGGACATTACCCACGGTCTGGGCTTGCTGCCACCTGCCATTGGGCCACTGGTGGAGAATGCCAGGCAGTCTGGCTACTGGGAGAGATCCAAGAAGTGCTGCTTGGCTGGGATTGGGGAATCATGTGCCCCTGGGACAGAGGGCTCTGGCAGCCCCAGTGTCCTGGAAGATGCCACCTCAGCGTCTGGGACCCTCACCACTAGGTGCCTCTGGTGTCACTACCAGTGAGCCTCATCCTTGACGGTGGCCTTAGGGGGCAGAGGAAGCCTTAGGTCGAACCCCTGCAGGCGCTGGGGGGTCCCACCTGCTGGTGATTAGGTCCTCGGGCCCTGCCCCTCCCCCAGGCAGAACAGCTGCTGTTAGTGTGGGACTTGTTGAACCCCAGGGGAGAGCTGGTGGTTGTTGCCGGGAACTGGCACCAGGCCCCTCAACCCAGCTGCCTAGGGGGTGAGGGAGGGTGGAGACGGCGGGGCCGCCAGTGAGCCCCGCGCCCGAGACTCTGCGCATTCAGAGGGCGTGGGATGCCCTGTGTGTCAGTGTGCTACTGGGACAGGTGGACGTGGACGTCAGGTGAGCCCCGCAGGAGCCTGGATTCCCAGTCCACGCCTTGGCTGGCTTTACTCTGCTGTCACCCTCGCCTCGCCACGCCACTCCCGCAGCTGTCCGGGGCGGTGGTTCTAGGGACTTCTGGCTGCTTGGCGAGGCCCGGGGCGGGGCCCAGGCAGGCTCTCGCTGCCCTGGCTCAATGGGCTAACCATTGGAGGCACCGAGCTGCCGGCCTGGCTTCCGGGGGCTGCCCAGCTGCGCCGGGCCCTCCCTGCCTCCGGCCGCACAGAATGGCGCGGGACACCCCTCTTGCCCAGCGCTGGAGGTTTGGTTTGTGTTTTTTCCCGGGTCTCCGCTGCTGTGCTGGGAGGCCCTCATGTCCTATTAGACTGGACCCCCCCGCCCCCACAACCCCGAACTTCTGGCCAGCTCCACAGCGTGCCCCCGGCCCCTTTACAGAATGTCCATCTGCCCTTCCTGAATGAGAGGGATAGGAGGTTGGGGAAACCAAGGCGGGGGGGCCTCTTCTTGGGGTGAGCCCAGCACCACTAGGCCTAGAAGTGGCTGGCACTATTAGCAACCCTGTCATAAGCTGGAAAACGTCAGAGCCAGCAAGCAGCGCCCGTCCCCTTCCGTTATAGAAAGGAAGGCAACTGAGGGCAAGTGATTTAAGGTTGCGCAGCGGGTCAGTGGCAGAGAAGCACCCAGATCACCTGGCTCTCCTAGCCTCTGCTAGGAGACGGCCGGAGAGTGCCCTCACTCTCGTGCATCCTTAGCTCCCAAGGGTTGAAGGCCAGGGCCTGAGGCGTCTTTGCGTTTCCCACCAGCAGGGTCAGAAAGCCTGGTGAATGGCAACCACAGCCCACAGCCGGCAACCCGGGGACCCTCCGCCTGTGCCAGCCACAGTTCCCTGGTGAGCTCTATTGAGAAGGACCTGCAGGAAATCATGGATTCACTGGTGCTAGAGGAGCCTGGAGCTGCAGGCAAAAAGCCTGCCGCGACTTCCCCACTGTCGCCCATGGCTAATGGGGGGCGCTACTTGCTGTCCCCCCCAACCAGCCCTGGCGCCATGTCTGTGGGCTCCAGCTATGAGAACACGTCTCCAGCCTTCTCTCCACTCTCCTCACCAGCTAGCAGCGGAAGCTGTGCCAGCCACTCACCCAGCGGGCAGGAGCCAGCGCCTTCCATGCCCCCGCTGGTACCTGCCCGTTCCTCTAGCTACCATCTGGCCCTGCAGCCCCCACAGTCCCGACCGAGCGGTGCCCGCGCCTCTGAGAGCCCCCGCTTGGGCAGGAAAGGGGGACACGAGAGGCCTCCCAGTCCTGGCCTCCGAGGTCTGCTGACAGACAGCCCTGCAGCCACTGTCTTGGCGGAGGCCCGCAGAGCCCCCGAGAGCCCCCGGCTGGGTGGACAGCTGCCCGTGGTGGCTATCAGCCTGAGCGAGTACCCAGCTTCCGGGGCCCGAAGCCAACCCACCAGCATTCCTGGCAGCCCCAAGTTCCAGCCTCCAGTCCCTGCTCCCCGAAACAAGATTGGCACACTCCAGGACCGCCCTCCCAGCCCTTTCCGTGAGCTGCCGGGCACCGAGCGGCTGTTGACAACCAGCCCCTCACGCCAGCTGGTGGGCCGAACATTTTCCGATGGGCCAGCCGCCCGCACCCTGCAGCCTCCCGAGAGTCCCCGCCTGGGCCGGCGGGGCCTGGACAGCATGCGAGAACTCCCTCCGCTGAGCCCGGCTCTGTCCCGACGGGCGCTGTCCCCCATGCCCACCAGGACTGCTCCAGATCCCAAGCTCACCAGAGAAGTGGCAGAGAGTCCCCGGCCCCGGCGCTGGGCCGCCCATGGGGCCTCACCAGAGGACTTCTCACTGACCCTGGGGGCTCGGGGCCGGAGGACACGGAGCCCCTCACCCACGCTTGGGGAGTCCCTGGCACCCCGCAAGGGCAGCTTCAGTGGCAGGCTGAGCCCAGCCTACAGTCTGGGCTCTCTGACTGGGGCTTCGCCCCGCCAGAGCCCCCGCGCCCAGAGGAAGCTGTCCAGTGGGGACTTGCGGGTGCCTGTCACTCGGGAGCGGAAAAATAGCATCACGGAGATCAGTGACAATGAGGACGACCTCCTGGAGTACCACCGGCGGCAGCGCCAAGAACGGCTCTGGGAGCAGGAGATGGAGAGGCTGGTGAGCGGATGCCAGGGAGGCCGCCACCGTCCATGGCGGGGTCCCTGCCAGGGCACGGGCAGGCCAGCTGGCCGAGTGGGAGGGGCCCTTGGAAGGGCCTGGGCTTCTCCAGCTTTTCTACTTCCAGGAGGCACCTTAGTGACCTGTATCTCAGGGGTCTGGTTCCCTGAAGAACTTTGCTTGGAATCTCAAAGGCTTTATTTTAAGTTCGTGTTAATCTTGCTTTTCTTCTATAACACGGCATTTGTTTTAATGTATAAATTAAATTTCGCGTTATTTACCTGAATGTAACAAAGCTCTAGGAAAACGCACCACCTTTCTGGTGAGGCCTGGCACCTCTCAGTTGAAGAAGCGGGTCTTAATGAGGAGGCTGAGGCCCAGAGAGGGGAATGGGTGTGTCCGAGGTCACACAGTAGTTCGGGCAGAGCTGGAATTGGAATCTCCTGTCTTTCCAAGGCTCCTTTTTTAGAAGAGCCCCTTGTTCTTTGGAAAAGTTTCTTCTTTCTTTCTTCTTTTTGGTCTTTTGCAAATGGGTGGGAGCTGCTCACCCTGGCCCAGGCAGGATCATCTGGGAAGGTGGGTGGCAGGGAAGGGCGGCCCCTGGCCTGACCCCGGGCGGGACCGTCCGATTGTGACTGTGTGCATCGGCGTGGGTGCACATGTGTGGCTGCTTTTGGGGGCCGGGTGTGGCTCTGGGCAGCTGTCCTAGGGACAGCATCTGAGTTGGGCAGGGGCCAGGATTCCCCGGATGGCGCAGGGAGCTCATGGGGGCTCTGGCTGGTGTGTAGACACTCGAGCACACGGACAGGAGAATGGATTGTGAGTAGCACGGGGTTGCTGGGGGGTCCAGGGACCGTGGGATTGGTTTGAGGAGGAGAACCAGAAATGAGGAGGTTTGTCTGGAGAGCTTTTCCGAAGAGGTTGGGACAGCTTTGGGTGAGGTTGAGGGTGCGGGCCGGTGTGTTTGTGTCGCGGATTGGGGGAGAGATGAGGCAGGATCCCCAGTGTTTTCTGTCGCCACATCTTCTTTTCACTGTTGTTGCCTTGGCCTCGAGGAGCGTGCTTGGACCACCCTGGGGGCTCATCCTGGATAGGGAGCAGCGAGTCTGGCGAAGGCGGAGTGAGGCCCAGGCTCCCCACCCCCAGGTGCAAGCACACACCTCACCACCAGCCCTGACCTGCCCCTCCTGCCACTTTAAATCTCAGAGGCTCCCTGCCCTGCCCCTCCCACCTCCCCGCAGGCTGCTTATCTGGGTCCTGGGGCAGGGGCGGGGGCACTGGCCCAGCCTCCTGGGTGCCGGAGGCTCTGTTCCTGGTTTTGTTTTTGACATGGAACTGGGCAGGCAGCAGGAAGGAAGCTGGGTACGTGTCTGGGGTCACGGCCACACTGTGCAGTGAGAGACACCTGAGGTTGAGGTCTGGGACAGGGGGGCTTCAAGGCTAGGGTGCTGTGGATGAGAGAGGGGGCCACAGGTCGGGAGCACGATTGCACCATCCCTCCTTCACTTCATAGGCCCCTGAGAGGTATCTGGCTGGGGCTGTTTGTGGGGAGGGGGGTGGATGAAGTGGCAGCCACTTGGAGCGCTCACAACTGGGCCTGGGCGTTCAAGGTCAGGCAGCGGCTCTCCTGGCTCGGAAGACACGGGGGTGCTGCCTGAGAGCACCTTGGAGCTGGGACCAGCATGAGGAGGACCGTGTCCCGGGTCTGTCTGGCCTGGTGTACATAGGCCGAGCGCAGCTTTGCGGGAACCTGGGATCCCTAGCTGCCTGTGGGTCTGGTTTCCAGCCCGGTCTGGGTCAATGCCCACCTGTCTGCACGCTAGGCTGTGTTTATCTGTGTGTGCGCCGGCGTGCGTCCGTGCGCGCCAGGACCTGCCTGTTAATGTAAGCACAGCGCACATGTTGTGTCCTCGCGGGTCAGGACTGGTGTGTGCGGGGTGGGGGGTGGGGGTCCCGTGTACCCTTGTGTCTGTAGATCTCTGTGGGTCCGAGTCAGCATGAGCACCCGAGTGTTTATCAGTGTCTCGTGGTCTTTAGCCTGCTCACCAGTTCGTGTGGCTGGGTGTCCGCAAGGAAGCCCCCTTGGGGGCAGAACGAAAAGGGAAAGGAAACCGGGGGGATGGGCGGGGTTAGCCATGTGGGCAGGTGGCACAGTGGCTTTGGTTCGTCCCGCCTACTCCTGGGACACCCTCCTTCCCTTTGCTTCCGCAGGCCTTGGGTTCGGGGCTCTCCTGACTTCCTCCTGAGCCCCGAGCACCTGGCGTCCTAGCTCTCCGTCCTGGTGGCCCGCCGCGCCTGGCTCCAGGTGTGCTGGGACCCGGCCTCCCTCGCCGCTCATGCCCTGCTCTGTGCCCCCTCCCCAGGAACGCCAGCGCCTGGAGACCATCCTGAACCTGTGTGCTGAGTACAGCCGGGCCGACGGGGGGCCCGAGGCCGGGGAGCTGCCCAGCATTGGGGAGGCCGCGGCGGCGTTGGCACTGGCAGCCCGGAGGCCCTCACGGGGCCTTTCAGGGGCCACGGGGGCCTCTGGGCGGAGCGCTGAGGAGCCTGGGGGTGCCCCCCAGCGCCTGTGGGAGTGTGTGGAACGCTCCGACGAGGAGAACCTCAAGGAGGAGTGCAGCAGCACCGAGAGCACGCAGCAGGAGGTGGGG